TTTGCGGCAAAATAAAATAACGCGATATAGAAGATCCTGGTATATTAAAAGTAATCAATGTCATTAGCCTAGTGCCTTTTATATTTGCTTTCAGTTTTAATCTCATAATACCAAAGGACAGTGAGAAAACGTGGGTGCCAGTTTACCACACATCAAATAAAGGACGAATCCGATCCAGTACCAAAGAAAAATTTACGCAAAATCTAAACTACACTAAAATAGAAAACATAGCAAGATAAACGCATTTTAAACCGGCTACAAAACGTTTCTCAACAACCCGCATCGTTCATTTTGTTGAGTCGAAACGAAATAATTCAGTCGAGTGACGAGTCAGGGAATTGTTCTTGTTTACGACACTTGCTTCTTTAGCATACACGATTAGATTTTTGGTCAAGCCACTGAACAAAAATTTAGTTCTGAACATTGAAGGAGATAGCACGATTGACTCTCCAAAAGAATCTGAGTCCGATGTATTGAATAGTTTTTGTACGACGTTGGTTTAAAAAATCTAAATTTTACAAAGAATTTATCAGCTCATTAGCGCTTTCGCCACCAAGCAATTTTGCAGTTTTTGAAATCTAATTTCCCCTTGAATATTACACCCAAAGAACCATAAATTTCACCATTTACTTAGTTGCACATACTCTAAAGTCTTTTTAATTAATTTGTATCTTCTCTGCGTTAAGTCGTATTTTAATGCGGTAAAATGCAACCAATGACGTCAAAATTGATATGTTCACCTGTGTCATTTTTATTACCTCGGTTCCTATCGGTGAAATTACTGACCAATCACTTCTGGTCGTGTTAACGCGAAAATAGCAAAGGAATTGTCTTTATACAGCTTTCTTTAAGCTTACATGTTTGAAATACAACAAATAATTACTGGGCTGGAAGACAAGGAAAATTAACTCAAGCAAGCCTCGGTTACTATTTTGTACGAAGATTTCACTGTGCTGCGTTAGGCTCTCCGTTCGTAACAAGCGGATTTGAGTATTTTAACTTCCAGGCCCAGTTGTAAGCTCTTGGAGCTTCTTGTTTCAAGTGTATTTAGTTGCCTTTTGAGAGATTGAACGTCCTGTAGTTATGTAAACCACTCCTTTGTTCAAAATAGTTCTTCTCCTTACTGAATGCCACACATTTTTTTAGAAGTTATTTCTTAGAGTGTATTGGTATATCAAGTGGATGATTTTCTGAATTCTCGTCACTTGCCTCTTTCACAATCTATTAAAAGCGGAGGGAGAATTTAAACGTTGATCACCCTTGGAGAACAAGGTTGATCTTAAACTTTAAAACCCAGGGTCAATTTAGTTCTAATCATGGCGCTTAAATGAAACTTCTTCCACTCCCGCGGTTGCAATCTTAAATATACTAGACGAATTTTTATTGAATTCTTTGGTTGCCCGACTAGTCGGCTTTCTAAGTTCGTCACAAACTTAACAGTACTAAATAAAGTTTAAACAAAGAAAGTCATGACCGTGGCGATGTTTGGAGATCTAATCTTGATCAGCATTGTTTTTACGATTTTATTTCTCCGTTTACTTCTTAGTTTTAGTTTTTACTGAGAGGATATATCAAACACTCAATACAGTGTTTGACCGCATTCACAACACCTCGAAGCTTCGCGTCGTATTTCAACTCTCCTCTCGGTGTTTGGAAGGTGATCAAGCACGGTCTTTCGTGTTTGATTTAATACATTGCACATTAATTTACTTGACTAGCTTTGGCCTTTGTTTTAATCTCCCAGAAAAATACCTTAAAAGGTTAGATAACATAGTGCCCTGTAACTAAAGCTGTTCCGTGTAGCAGACGTGTAGATTCGAAGCCACTTGTCATCTAGCCAGCTGTAGAATTCTATAAATGTTTGCACTTTAAAAAAGCGCGGAAAATTTGTCGTTCTACAAAGAGCTTAGGCAATCTGCCATGAATACACCGAGCAGCAACAAATGATGGTTCCCATAACGAAAAGATATTAAAAACTCACTAGTAATGTCAAGATCGGCGCTTGTACCTTGTCCTTCCAGCCCAGGGCCATACGTGTGTTCAGTTTAAACGATTAAAAAAAAAAAAGAAAACTTATAACCTGGCTACAGACTGTTAATTAGAAAGTTAGTTACGTGAACACGCGCGAGTCACATGCGCGACGTGAGGGAAAACACGAAAGGCTGCACTCGTAGTAAAATACGTCGAGCAATAGCTTTTTTCCTCAAGAAGTAGACGTAAATCATAAGTGAATAGTTTACCCAAACATTAAACAAAATTTCTTAATGAATCGATATAGTTTATAAATACAAAACTAAGTGTTCAGGGACAATCAAATATGATAATTATGGTAGATTAAGCTGGAAAATTTACTCCTCGCAGCTTTTAGGTTACAAACTACAGGAAGGAAAGATTAAATTCGAATACACTCTGAGTAAGTCGGCCATAGTATTCCTTTCACTGGAGAGATATAGCAAATTGTGTAGGATGCAAGCGTTTGTACAAGCACTACAAGAAACGACAGCAAGTCGCTCGCTTACCTTGTGCAAGTTGTATGAAAAATCCTCTCTTTTTCCTCGCCCAGGCCGTTAAGATGGAATGACTCTCGTTACAATTTTCTATTGCCTATTTAGTCCCTGTGTTTGGAGGGAAGAAAGTTTCTGAAACAGGACCAAAGACGTTGAAATTTGTTCCAACAAATCAACTTGACCGCGTGTCTTCCTGAGTAAAGCAGATGAGGTTTGAGACCATCATGAATAAATTAGTACCCATAATTTGCAATTTTAAATTCCATTGCTCCTTTTGTGATCCACCCATCACTCTTGGCGCGCCAAGAGGGTCTAGTGCGGCGTCTTTGATAGATCTAACGATCGTTCAGCGCTTGAGAGGGCTTAAAAGGCTGCAATATCAGTATTTCTTAACAAGTCTGTTCTCTTGATGTTCTAAATTTATGCTGTACTGCTTCAACTTTCAACTGAGGATGGACGTGGGTTGAAGTGTTTGCACAGGGAGTGGGGTGGGGTGTCGCTAGCGACAGCACTGCTTTTGAAAATTTTGTTTAACAGGATGCGTTAATTTACGAGTACAAGTTGTCTTTAAAAGTTGTTAATACTTTTAATACTTCACTTCACTTTTAGCTATAACCCCCCTAGGCAGGGGCGGATCTAGGGGGAGAGTGCAGAGGCTGCGCACCCCCCCCCCCCTGAGATGAAGCCTTCCTCTTCACATTCGCTTTTAAAATTATTATTTGTTTACCTCACCAGTCAGTTACGCAATTCCTTAGTGGTGCACCCCCTTCTAAGAAAAATCCTGGATCCGCCCCTGCTAGGAGTATTGGACCTGATATATTTATATACTTTTACCACGTTCGTCCACGTTTCACCAGTTAGACATGTCTCTGTGCGTTCCATTGTATTCCCCGAGCGACATCCAAGCGTTTCCTCATTACTCTACTGTCTTAAACCAACCAAACCTTAACACCATAAGAGTATCTTAAACAGCCCTAACCTTAAAAATAACCCTTGACTAACATCTAACTTCTGCCACCACCCAAATTTAGCTGACAACAATCCTTAGCCGACACACAACCCCGAGTATTCCCCATGCTTTCCGGGTTCGCTCCTCCATTTTTTTTATTGAATTCATGCATGGAATCCTCCAAAGCAGCGTCTTATTATTTTGTTTTACTCGCTCATAGTAGTAGTTTGTACAGTGTTTACGTGTGATAGCCAGTAGTTAGATAGCCAGTTAGTGATAAGTACTCAACATATATGTATGACTGAAGTAATTTATGACCGTTCTTAAATAAAGTTATCTTTACTACTAAACTCTATTCTATTTCATTCCTCGTGGGTTCCCGAGGGTTCCCGTGGGTTCCCAGTGTTCATGTTTCCCGTGTACTTCCCGGTCCATTATGCCAGGCGTTCCATAGTGTGTTTCCCGCGAGTTCCATGTGAATTCCCCGTATGTACCCTCATTTCCCCTAACGTAACCGTAAAATTAACACTAAACTTTTGCCGATTCTTAATGCTCTGCTTACCCCCAACCCAGGGCGGACACAGAACCCTCTGTTTTCCCCATGCGTTTCCCGTGCTTTCTTTCCTACTTTCCTGTTAGTTCTACCTCGAGTTTGCTCTTGCATAATTGCTCCATGCGTTCCCTACCCATGTCCTTCCTATCCGCTGCTATATCAGCATAAATAACACGTTTAACTTTATAAATCTGATGTCTTAAACCGGCCTGGAGTATCCCAATATTCTCAACAAACGAAATAAAATAAATGCTAAGCTAAACACGCATAAAGCCACCAACATTCAAACGCCATGTGCATTTCGTTTCGCGAAACGCCCTCGAATGGACCCCTAAAGCTGTTTGCGAGTCGCGCGCTGATTGGTTGAAATTTGAAGACCTGTCAAACAGAGGTCAGCAGGTAGTACCTTCTCCATGCGTTCAACGTGCGTTCCCTATGTTGCCTGTCCATTCTGTCGAGCGTGCACTCGCGTTTTCCGACTCATTACCCATATGCCCCCAGCCCTTACTGTTGACTTTCAAACCATTACTCTGGGCCAATCATGTTTCTCTTCGTTGCCCGTCAGTTATGCAAGGCGATCCCTGTTGCACTTCAATGTGTTTCCTGTGAGTTCCCCGTGTATTCCCTTGCTTCCCCCTAGAACTCAATTAAGCGTTGCTTGACACCCAACTTAGACCGACTCCTTACGTTACTCTGACACCCAACCCAATACACAACCCCTGGTGTTTCCCCATGCCGGTTGCCAGTAAATTCCCTTCCGAGTTCCCTGGCATTTTATCCACGTGTTGTCTGGTAAATTACACAGTGCGTTCCATAATCACCTGCTCTCACTTCCCCCCATGCGTTTTCCGTGCATATCCGGCTTGACATTACCTATCTCCTCTGGGACGTGTTCCCTCTTATTTTGTTAAATTGTTCGCTTAAAGAAACGTTTTCTATCTTTATAAGTTTCTTCATAAGTCACTTTCTCGTCTCAGAAAAGGTTTTCCTCTAAACACTTCTTAAGCGGGTTTTATTTTTACATTTTACTTTACTGTATAGGTTTATTGAAGACTTCAAAGCAGTTCCTTTTGTGCGTAAACCTCGTCAACAATTTCTCCTATCTGACTTGCAATTCTGCGGAGCGTTTTTTGTTTTCTTTTTTTGTAAGAATAAGACACAAAGAAACTGTCTTACAATTAAATTTAGCCTCAACTATTTGAAAGGAAATGTCAGTATTGTCTGAGTGTCTCGGTCTAAAGGCAGTTTCCTCCCGATTTCATTCAGGTTTCTTTAGTTACTTCAGTCTTTTCTGACTGTATATTTTTGTTCCAGATGTCTTTTTCCCTTCACGCTTCTCATGACAATCGCAACTGCGGTTGTCTTGTCTTATACATCTTGAAGAGACGTAGAGACAACTTTTACATCCAAAGCAAATGATTGGTTCACAGAACCCCGTCATGCCACGTTCTCTAACCAATCAGAACAAAGCTATCATCCCTTCAGCCAATCATAAGCAGAGTCAATACCACTCGTAAATGGCTTGCCCGACTTTTCCCGTGCTTGCCGCTGGTCGCGTGTTGCTTCAAGTTCTGATTGGTTCGCTGCTTTAATGATTGACTCGTGACAGTCATTCACCATTTTAGCTCCTTGGAACAGATTCGGGACGATATCGATGCGTAGTTTTCAATTTTCTTTCTTTTCTTCGGAAACTTCTTCCTTCTTTTTCCCAAATATCTTGCCTTTTAACTTTGCCAACACACCTTTAACCTTGCCAATGGGACCAGGATTTTTCTTGGGGTCAACAGCTTCGAATCTCCGCGAGGAAAGATTGTGGAACGAACCAAATGCAATGGCTACCACCGTGCAAGCCAAACAGATGACGTTATACGGCATACTGAAGTCAGGGGTGGGAAGGGTGATCAGAAGAATTTCTGTGTGGAGACGAAGAAATACTTCCTCCTCTGGGGTGGTCTCAAGACTAGATGGAGAGAAAACCAATAAAAATAAAATTAAAACGGCACTAACAACAGTACCGGCGAAGTTTTAGAAATTAAAAAAGTTATATAGGTTACCTAGGAAACAGAAGAGACGATTGACGTGAGGGGCCAGTGTAATTCAGTGGGTTTCGAAGGTTCGTAGAAATAACAGCAGAACTGAAAGAAAACAAAAATTCTACTTGTTAGTTTGAAGAGTGTTGACTGTTCTCTCGATAACACACGGATCAGAGCCCTCGGCAGTCCGGTGGACCAGTACAGGAAGGATTACCGACTATTAGTAACCAATCATAAAATAGCACGAGTAATAGCGAACGCAATAAAAGTTGTCGTGACATTTCCCGAAAATCGGGTGCTTCGCCTGTTGGAAAAAGTTTTCTATGGCGGTGCTCTACAAGAGTTTAGGCCCCAGTTATATGGTCTCGGGTACCTGAGACAACCCTACCCCCGAGGAAACTTGAGCGAGCGTTTATATGTGAAAACGTAGTCCCTGTACGTCAAGTCAAAGTTGACCCTGCATGATTATTCGTAACCCATATTGAATAATCAAGTATGCAAACATCTCTCTTTCTTTGAGTTTCCCTTGGTCATTCGATCACAGCGAGTTTTGCCGAGTTAATTTTCACTTCTTTGATACAAATTTCTGTTTTAAATCCTAAATCTAGGTAATACGTGACACTCGCCACACCGAGAGTTGTCCCGGTTAGGCGAGCCAAAGTGTTTATATGAAGAAAAGTTGTCCCGCTTGCCAGGGTTATCCTACCTCCCGAGCGGAGACAACTCGCCCACCCCCAGTTGTCACGCCCCCTCTCCCCTCCCCCTCCCCGAGACGGGTTCGCGATCCTCTTGTAAACAGCGGGTTGAATTTTGTAAAGAAACAAGCTAAAAGTTACCCTGACCAGGGTAACTCGGGGGGAGGGTTGTCTCGGGTACCTGAGACCATATATATAAATAGGGCCTTAGTCGCGGAAATGATAAAAACGACTTGAGGGTTAGTAAGAGAAGAATATACCTGATATAGAAGCCATGATGAGCGTCTGGAGGATGTTCTGTCCACTTTAAGAATCCTTTGTGGAACTGTATGCTCAGTTCTGTGACAGAGTTTGCTGGTAAGGTCAGTAACATTTCCAAAGTGTAAGGCCTCAAACGATCCTTCGCTGGGGTCACGTGGATGACATCTAGACAAAAATTAACAACCCTTTCAGTCGCAAGTTTCTCAACAGATTGCTTTACACTCATCCCAATGTTGGCTCTAGGAATTTAGTAGTAACTAATACGTTATTGAGTTAGCGTGAGGTCCGTATTTGGCTCTTATTAACCGAGCTTTGTCGGTCTGGGAGAATCTTGACGGAGGTCGTGAGTACAGACCGAACGCAGTGAGGTCTGTGCACACGACCGAAGTCAAGATTCTCCCAGACCGACTAAGCTCGGTTAATAAGATGGTTATTACATGGCAAACAAGAACAATTTAATTCGTTTAGTGTAACTGGTTTGTACTAGCTGACATTTTGCTTGCGAACGGCGATGAGCCGAAATTAATTTTGCCAAAGTTTGCTGGTCCTCTTTGCTTTTTTTCTCATCAGGCTTTTTGGCACTCCATAAATAAATATTGTTAGAAGAAAATAGTCAATATTTTTTAATCTTAGTTTTCAACTTTTTCACCGCAAAATGTGACCGGTCTAGATGCCGGTCTAGATGGGAAAATCTAGACCGCTTTCAATATCGATTTCAGCCAATCAAATTCGTGGATTCGGTACATCCCAGTCCTTGTGAGACACAGCCATATAATAATTAGCTCTTATTAATCAAGCAGGAGGTCTGTATGGTCTTGACCGAGGTCGTGAGTACAGACCAAACGCAGTGAGGTGTGTACACACGGACGAGGTCGAGATTCTCCCATGCAGACCGACTAAGCTTGGTTAATAAGATGTTTATTATACGGCGCAAAAAAAGAGAACAATTTCATTGGTTTAATGTGACTGGTTTGAACTAACCTGACTAACTGACATTTTGCTTGCGAACGACGATGAGCTGAATTAATTTTGCCAAAGTTTGCTCGTCCTCTTTAATCTTTTTTCTCATCATGCTTTTTGGCACTTTCATAAATAAATATTGTTAGATGAAAATAGCCAATGACTTTGCATTTTAGTTTGCAACTTTTTCACTGTATAACATTACCGGTCTAGATCCGGTCTAGATGGGAAAATCTAGACCGCATTCAATATCGATTTCAGCCAATCAAATTCGTCAATTTGGTAGTTCCCAGTCCTTGTGAGACAGAGCCATATAATAATGGGGAAATATTGCATGGCCGAGTTCTGTTTTTGAAAGTGTACTTACTCTACTGGACCGAACAAGCTGGTTCAATAACGTATTAATTATAATGGCTCTGTTAAAACTCTATTTACGTTCTTTAGGTCACTTTCGTGAAAGTTAAACTCAAATTGAACGCCAAATATAAAGGAAATAAAATTTCCACTTACATTAAAACTTATCTTTCGTGCAATGCTTTGAAAAACTAATTCGTAGGCGGTCCACCTTAGCGGTCCCTCTTGTAAAAGTCGGACGTTCAGGGAACCAATTAGCACGCAGTCGGCTATTGGGTTCAAGTTCCTGACATTTAGACGAAAGCTGCTGAGCATTAAACTACTATGGCACTGTTTATTACATTCTTTGCCAAGTCCAAAGTTTNCATCTTGAAGAGACGTAGAGACAACTTTTACATCCAAAGCAAATGATTGGTTCACAGAACCCCGTCATGCCACGTTCTCTAACCAATCAGAACAAAGCTATCATCCCTTCAGCCAATCATAAGCAGAGTCAATACCACTCGTAAATGGCTTGCCCGACTTTTCCCGTGCTTGCCGCTGGTCGCGTGTTGCTTCAAGTTCTGATTGGTTCGCTGCTTTAATGATTGACTCGTGACAGTCATTCACCATTTTAGCTCCTTGGAACAGATTCGGGACGATATCGATGCGTAGTTTTCAATTTTCTTTCTTTTCTTCGGAAACTTCTTCCTTCTTTTTCCCAAATATCTTGCCTTTTAACTTTGCCAACACACCTTTAACCTTGCCAATGGGACCAGGATTTTTCTTGGGGTCAACAGCTTCGAATCTCCGCGAGGAAAGATTGTGGAACGAACCAAATGCAATGGCTACCACCGTGCAAGCCAAACAGATGACGTTATACGGCATACTGAAGTCAGGGGTGGGAAGGGTGATCAGAAGAATTTCTGTGTGGAGACGAAGAAATACTTCCTCCTCTGGGGTGGTCTCAAGACTAGATGGAGAGAAAACCAATAAAAATAAAATTAAAACGGCACTAACAACAGTACCGGCGAAGTTTTAGAAATTAAAAAAGTTATATAGGTTACCTAGGAAACAGAAGAGACGATTGACGTGAGGGGCCAGTGTAATTCAGTGGGTTTCGAAGGTTCGTAGAAATAACAGCAGAACTGAAAGAAAACAAAAATTCTACTTGTTAGTTTGAAGAGTGTTGACTGTTCTCTCGATAACACACGGATCAGAGCCCTCGGCAGTCCGGTGGACCAGTACAGGAAGGATTACCGACTATTAGTAACCAATCATAAAATAGCACGAGTAATAGCGAACGCAATAAAAGTTGTCGTGACATTTCCCGAAAATCGGGTGCTTCGCCTGTTGGAAAAAGTTTTCTATGGCGGTGCTCTACAAGAGTTTAGGCCCCAGTTATATGGTCTCGGGTACCTGAGACAACCCTACCCCCGAGGAAACTTGAGCGAGCGTTTATATGTGAAAACGTAGTCCCTGTACGTCAAGTCAAAGTTGACCCTGCATGATTATTCGTAACCCATATTGAATAATCAAGTATGCAAACATCTCTCTTTCTTTGAGTTTCCCTTGGTCATTCGATCACAGCGAGTTTTGCCAAGTTAATTTTCACTTCTTTGATACAAATTTCTGTTTTAAATCCTAAATCTAGGTAATACGTGACACTCGCCACACCGAGAGTTGTCCCGGTTAGGCGAGCCAAAGTGTTTATATGAAGAAAAGTTGTCCCGCTTGCCAGGGTTATCCTACCTCCCGAGCGGAGACAACTCGCCCACCCCCAGTTGTCACGCCCCCTCTCCCCTCCCCCTCCCCGAGACGGGTTCGCGATCCTCTTGTAAACAGCGGGTTGAATTTTGTAAAGAAACAAGCTAAAAGTTACCCTGACCAGGGTAACTCGGGGGGAGGGTTGTCTCGGGTACCTGAGACCATATATATAAATAGGGCCTTAGTCGCGGAAATGATAAAAACGACTTGAGGGTTAGTAAGAGAAGAATATACCTGATATAGAAGCCATGATGAGCGTCTGGAGGATGTTCTGTCCACTTTAAGAATCCTTTGTGGAACTGTATGCTCAGTTCTGTGACAGAGTTTGCTGGTAAGGTCAGTAACATTTCCAAAGTGTAAGGCCTCAAACGATCCTTCGCTGGGGTCACGTGGATGACATCTAGACAAAAATTAACAACCCTTTCAGTCGCAAGTTTCTCAACAGATTGCTTTACACTCATCCCAATGTTGGCTCTAGGAATTTAGTAGTAACTAATACGTTATTGAGTTAGCGTGAGGTCCGTATTTGGCTCTTATTAACCGAGCTTTGTCGGTCTGGGAGAATCTTGACGGAGGTCGTGAGTACAGACCGAACGCAGTGAGGTCTGTGCACACGACCGAAGTCAAGATTCTCCCAGACCGACTAAGCTCGGTTAATAAGATGGTTATTACATGGCAAACAAGAACAATTTAATTCGTTTAGTGTAACTGGTTTGTACTAGCTGACATTTTGCTTGCGAACGGCGATGAGCCGAAATTAATTTTGCCAAAGTTTGCTGGTCCTCTTTGCTTTTTTTCTCATCAGGCTTTTTGGCACTCCATAAATAAATATTGTTAGAAGAAAATAGTCAATATTTTTTAATCTTAGTTTTCAACTTTTTCACCGCAAAATGTGACCGGTCTAGATGCCGGTCTAGATGGGAAAATCTAGACCGCTTTCAATATCGATTTCAGCCAATCAAATTCGTGGATTCGGTACATCCCAGTCCTTGTGAGACACAGCCATATAATAATTAGCTCTTATTAATCAAGCAGGAGGTCTGTATGGTCTTGACCGAGGTCGTGAGTACAGACCAAACGCAGTGAGGTGTGTACACACGGACGAGGTCGAGATTCTCCCATGCAGACCGACTAAGCTTGGTTAATAAGATGTTTATTATACGGCGCAAAAAAAGAGAACAATTTCATTGGTTTAATGTGACTGGTTTGAACTAACCTGACTAACTGACATTTTGCTTGCGAACGACGATGAGCTGAATTAATTTTGCCAAAGTTTGCTCGTCCTCTTTAATCTTTTTTCTCATCATGCTTTTTGGCACTTTCATAAATAAATATTGTTAGATGAAAATAGCCAATGACTTTGCATTTTAGTTTGCAACTTTTTCACTGTATAACATTACCGGTCTAGATCCGGTCTAGATGGGAAAATCTAGACCGCATTCAATATCGATTTCAGCCAATCAAATTCGTCAATTTGGTAGTTCCCAGTCCTTGTGAGACAGAGCCATATAATAATGGGGAAATATTGCATGGCCGAGTTCTGTTTTTGAAAGTGTACTTACTCTACTGGACCGAACAAGCTGGTTCAATAACGTATTAATTATAATGGCTCTGTTAAAACTCTATTTACGTTCTTTAGGTCACTTTCGTGAAAGTTAAACTCAAATTGAACGCCAAATATAAAGGAAATAAAATTTCCACTTACATTAAAACTTATCTTTCGTGCAATGCTTTGAAAAACTAATTCGTAGGCGGTCCACCTTAGCGGTCCCTCTTGTAAAAGTCGGACGTTCAGGGAACCAATTAGCACGCAGTCGGCTATTGGGTTCAAGTTCCTGACATTTAGACGAAAGCTGCTGAGCATTAAACTACTATGGCACTGTTTATTACATTCTTTGCCAAGTCCAAAGTTTCACAAATTTGTCAAAAGCACTGACTGCAAGCAACGAACAAAAATTAACATAACTAAAAGTGACAACCCTAAGCCACTTGAATTTTACCAGGCGTAATGTCCCTGCCACCACTCCTGATGGTTAGGGTGTGCAGGAAGATCCTGAGGAACCACGGGAAGGTAGCAAAGTAAACTACTGGCAGGGGATCCGTGGGGTGGCGATTGTGTATCAAGGATGTGATACCTCCCTTCTCTTCACCATACCCTGAAAAAAGTAAAACAATGTGTGTTATGAAGAAGAGAAACTCACAAAATAGCACTTCAGAACAGAAGTTTAGGAAAAAGCAATAAAGAAATCACAGGGAACTTAGAGGGACTTTTAACATGCAGGGGTAAAGATGGTTATCCCAGGGAACTAAATGACATCCCATACTCTACTTTAGGAGGCTATGGGAATGATGTAGACTGAAAAAGTATCAAAAAACTTTACTCACCTGTCAGGCAAGCAAAAGTCACTATCCACCAGCTCGACCTCAAACTATACTTATTCCCAGCTACACGTATCCAACATGTCTACCTTTGCATGTTGTAATGATGATGATATATTCACCTACATTAACTAAATAGGCGTATAATTTACTCTAAAATAAGTTCTCATTTTGTTGCCGGTACTTGCTAACCTGTTATAAATCTCTGAGCATAAAGCTGAGGAGGAATTCCTGTTGGAGACATCATCATGAATATTTAGTAGAACAAAGAGATGCAGCAAACAAAGCAATGATTCCAATAATTCATACTCTCTGAAGAATGATCATACAACTCTTTCTTACTACATGTTCATATCTCAAGACGTATTATCATTTCTGGTATTTACACTGTACATGTCTTTTCTTCTGCGTTTTGGTTTTCTGGCTCACCCTGTTAAACAATCTTGCCCCATCCCATTCCATGCTCCAAGAGATTGAAAACACTTAGCATAGACTACAAAGAACCAATCTTTTTTTAAGGATAATTCTTGAATAAATACAGTCTAAAATATTATTTCGATTATAACTGAGTTCTGAGACCTTGAATAGCTCTCTTCTTCCACTTGAACACCACATTGAGAGTTGCTTCAGAACTACCTGGGTTGACAAGAGCAAGAACAAAAATCAAGACACCTCATTGCACAAAGTCTAGGTACTGAAAAGTCACTGCAACTCATTGCAGCATAAATCTCCTCTAAGGCTCTAAGGCCTAGTTTGCACTAGTGATATAACAACATAAACATAACAACATAAGAAGGATGTTATGTTATGTTTCCCGTGTGAGCATCCTGACGAAATGACATATGTAGCAACATAACAGCATGAACATATGTCCATGTTCACATTACCAACATAAGTGATTATATGCCTTTATGTGGTTCAAGGGGGAAGCTTCTACAATGAAAACTGTCAGCCCACCTGAGCAACAAGTGCAAAAAAGCATCCGATAATATTGGTTCCTATTTCAGAATTCCAATTGTTTTTGTGACTAATCAGAGACAGTTCTCAGATCTGGACAGCAATATATTATCAATATAAATGTCCAAGTTTGTTTCCCAGTTGTTCCTTTTGTGAGGAACACAGTTAACTGCTCAGTGAGAAAAAGAAATGGCTGCAAACTAAACTTGTTTTGAACTTACTCATTTGCTTTACATCGTACATGGCAAAGAGCTGTTGATGCTGTTGTGTCACTTGTCTTGTGACTGTTGAAAAAGCTGGTGACACAGTAAATTCTGATCCACTCTGTAATGCAAGTTCAAGAAAATGGTTGAATAAGTTTGTAGTAACAAAGGACAGTCACAAAAGTCTAAAACTGGCTGCAACTTTGCTATGACATATCAAAACTGACTCAGAAACTCAATTTGATCTGAATTTGTTACATGCACTGCACAGTCATTTAGACAGATGTGACAATAATTATATATTAAGTCAAACTGATTATAACACTAACTTAATGCAATAATGAATAATTTGTTAATTCATCAGTTTTACGCACCTTGTTACTGCTTATATCAACGTAAACCTTGCTGGTTGTGGCAAGAGGACATGCTGACTTAATGGCACGGCCAAATAACTTCTTGAAGGACCAGTCTAACAACAGAAATTGTGACAAAGTAGTTTCTAGATTGTTTTTATGTGGTAGATCGATAAATAGTTACTCATTTCCATCAAGATGTCAATAACAGGACTTGGTAGAAGGTGTAAAAATGTTTATACATAATATGTCCCCGCAGTGGACAGCACTTTTCAATCTCATTATCATATGTATTTCATCAAGTGTAAACAAAGCAAATCATAACTGTGACAGGCTTTGAATATTTCATCCCAATATATTAGCATAGAGTTCATTATGATGTTATTTCTCTGTTTTCTCTCCAATTTTCATCTCAATTGAGAAGATATATCAAACATTCTAGACATTACCAGTATTTTACAACATTTTCAAACACCTTGCAGCCTATCAAAATATTCTGCTGTGCATCACATTTTCAACGCTCTTCTTAAAGTCTGGAAATGTGGTCTCTAGTGTTTGCTACATGTACTGTATATTACTTACCAAATTTAGATCCTCCTCTTAACAATGGATCTAGCACCATGGATAGTGACTGTACTAGCTCAACAGAGAACTGTGAACAGCTTGGATCCTTAAATGTAATCAGTGTAATCAGTGACCTTAACAAATAGATTCCATGTTGTTGTACGTCTGTTCAGTAATAGATCACAGATGATGACAAAGTGCGGTAAGAACAAAAAAGTGGCACTCATTAATATTTCTACAGTACAGTAAATGCTATAATAACCAGTTACAGGGTTCGTACCCTTTTTCAGAAACAAATTTCCAGGACTTTTCCAGGACTCAGATTGATTTTTCCAGGACTCTAAAATTCACATTAACCCTTTCACTCCCAWKATCTTAATGTTAATTCTCCTTACTGTCTGCCATACATTTCATRTTTTTTTACTTGASTTTAACAGATTTCCAGAACTTTCCAGGACCAGTAGCCCTTTTCCAGGACTTTCCAGTCCTGGAAAATGCCACAATAAAATTCCAGGACTTGCCAGGTTTTCCAGGACCTGTACGAACCCTGAGTTAGAGTGCTTCATCACAGAATGTCTGAGCACAAGAGGTTCAGGCCAAAGAAGAGAGAGCAGGCTTAAGAACAGTTAGGAATAGTGGGTAGGACTAATTTGTGTGTATTTTTTTAATCTTTGTCTCAGGATTTTAGAAAAGTTCAGCCGTTGGTATTCCATTTTTTACTGGCATCTTCAAAGGACTCAAGTTAAAAGGATGCACACAAAAATGTTCAAATTTTGTTGTTTATAGTGGTTTGGCAGGAGGCAAACCAGTTGGTTATTTACAAGCAAGATCAAGGAGCTGATCAAGGATACACTAAAAGAGTGTAACATTCTGTAAGTCAAGTAAACTTTCTAATCAAAGTTACTTACCTGGCAAATTGGTCGCAGATGGACCCCTAGAGAGTGGTAACTCACACTGTAGAGCAGCAATGAGTAAAACAATGTAGTTAAGCCAGCCTACAAAAACCATAAAAAGTTATGAGAATATTTTACCAGCTACACCTGAAACACCATAATTAGGAACAACATTCAACAAATGCAGGACACCAGAGGAGGAGCAGGGAGATATCTAGAGATTTAGAAGCAGTCAGTAGGAGTCAGAGGGCGAGTGTATTGTTTAACAGTGAAAACTTGATAAATTGATTTAAAAGGAAAAGGATATGACACAAACTACGAACAATTAATTTCTAGTTGCAAAAGTAATAGAACTAAGTTAAAAATGGGATGAAATAATAACTTATCTTAATTACCATGGGCTGCACTGTAAACTCATTACTCTAACCCTTTAAGCCCCAGAGAAACACCTTATTTTTGTAAAATGAAAACCGAAGATCGAAAGACCACAAGTGATATACCAGTTGAAAGGTATTGTTTGGGGTATGTCCTAAATCACCACAACAGACATACTGGATGTCACAAACTGAATTGAGGAGTCTGCAAAGTAAAAACTGAAAATGTTCAAAACTATCTTGTTCCTTGTATATATTGGGTATACCCTTAAACAAAAGCTTAATTTGCAGCTCTGGGTGTGCAGATTTTTATCAGATATTCACTTGACTGTAAAATGGTAAAGTGCAAAAGTACAAAAAACTTGAGGGGTGGTTAATTAAGTCTAATTCAGGAGGGAGGTATGATTTTATGCTTCCAATGTGAAGATCTCTCAAAGATCCTTTTGGTGTCCAAATTTGAAATGAATTGGCCAAATATTAAGCTTATTATGACATTTTGTACCATATGGCACTATTGGGGCTTCACCAAAACTGTAATCTTGAATAACAGGCCAAATTACGGCAGGAAGTGGTAATAACGCAAACCAAATGGAAACAGGAGAAACCCTCTCTGCCTAAAGAAATATAATCACCTTGGAGTCACAAGGCAACAGTTTTTTCCAGGGAGTGAGGTTCTCTGTACACACTAGTTCTCTTGGCAGCGCAGCATGTCTTAACAGTGAACTGTTTGTACCAGCAGCGGAAGCAACACCTCCTCTTCTAAAAGAAAGCTTGGGACTTGAGGTTGTTTTGCTGTCTATGAAATTCAGTGATGCGCAAAATTGACCAGATAGTGCTTGGGTTAAGCCCGACCAGTTTTCATCAACTCTGTTGGAAGAAAAAAATTCTTTTTGTACCTGAAACTGACAGACAACATCATTGTGGTTTATTACCTTTTGAAAAGGCTAACCACGTAATTTATTATTGTTTCATCCATTAAGTAGGAGCACGTCACAAAAAACATGTTCTAAATGGGTTTCAAACTTTGCATGATTCATCATTTTGGAGACCATAATGAAAACTTTTGTACCCAAAGTACAGTACAATTGGTATTGTTTTAGTGAGTTGTCAAAATATTTTCAATAAATATAGGTATAGAAGAAACCTCAAAGATCAATGTCCTTTAATCTGAGAACTTCTTGACGTTTCTTCCACACTTATTGCAAACATTTTCACAACTTGATAAAACAATACCAACTCTGTTGGACTTTGTGCAAAAAACTTTATAATTTGCCAAACTTCAAATGGTTGTTGACAAATTATACAGCATTTAATACCCATTCAGATCGCTTGTTCATGATGTGTTCATCCTTAGATGCAAAAAATTGTATAACACTACCTGTCTTTCACTCTGTCTTGAAACCACACCCATAACTCTGCTCCTGGAGGTGCAGACGTCACAGGATATCCCCACTGTTCATGCTGCCACTGTCCCTGAGTGAGACTCAAATGCAACTCTTCTACTGAATATTGATTGATGATCTGACCAAAGGATTTCGAAAAAAGGTTGTAGTGGGAAACTAGGATGAAAGATACATAAGATTACATGTACAGTACAATACAATAATTTATGTAGACATGCCACATCTAAGAGCTGTACAAGCTTGTTCTAAATACGTACGTGTATTCCATTCCTAAATCTATTATTACAGGGAAAGACTATCTATAAGCCTAAATCAATGGCTACTGGGCCAGTCAATTTGTTAATCTACCAACCCATATCAGAGCTAAACATTTTTAGCATGAATCAATGCACCATTCTGCGAGATTAATAACCCTAAAATCCACTAAGCATGTAAAATTCTAAAAGTAGCCACCACCTCTTAAGTAGCAAAGTAACATATCTTTGCCACCTTTGGGCACATTACAAACTCATGTCATCAGGTTCCAGTTGGCTACTTGATGGTTCCGTTGATAGCACACTAGGCCAGCATTACAGACATCATGGGTTCTAATCCTGTTCAAGCCTGAATTTTTCTGGCTTTATTTTTGTAACTGCCTCAGTTGCATACTTAATGATAGCTATTTCTCTCACAAAATTTGGCAGGGAGTATGAGAAGAGTGGGGAGGGGGTACTCCCTTATATGGGCTATATATGTATGTGCGGCCCCAAAAGGTAGGGTTTTTCAGCTGTTTTGGTCGTAAATAGGGTATTGATTTTTGCTATTTTGGTTATAAATAGGGTAGGGTTTTACCACTCTAGTCTTGAATTAGGTATGTTTCTTAGAAGAAGCTACTCTTTCATCATCAATAAGACCATCAGCAAAAGCCCTTCATAACTTATGTTTGAAGCAATTGTGTCAGCCACAACAGTCATATTGATATTGGCTATTGAATGTTTGGTCAGGTCATAAATAGGGTAGCAAAAAATGTAGATTTTGGTCATAATTAGGGTAAAGGTTTTGGGAAGTGGGCTGCACACCCCCACCCAACTTTTCTGGAAGTACCCCGCCACCAGGGCGAAGAGATGCTGAAACTTGTTGGAACCCAAGAGAAAAGACCAGCTGCCAACAGTCTATAGTGATTTGACTTGCCTTTACATCTTTCTCCTGCAGTTCAAGTATGTTTTGTATATTTACTTGATTTAGAATAGCACAGAGATCAAAAAACATCTTGTCCAATAGTTCAGCAAGTCTCAGTTTAGTATTTTCCACACTTGAAAAAGACTGGACCGGCAATAGCGCCATCTGATTGGTTGATTCAATTAGCTATAAAACTTTTTCATGTACTAATAAATTATGACCAAGTTGCCTTGGGACTGTACTGGGAGACTATCAGTCCTACGTCTTCTTCTTACAGACTTGGCCTTTTATGTGACATCGGGTGTAGGAGGATAACGGTGATCTGGTTAACAGTGCCCGCAAATAAGTTTTAAGCTGATAAAGTCGAGAACTAAAAGTTGTCACACTTACAAGCTTTCGTATCTCTGATATCCACGTCCCAAACTGTGGTAAATTGAAAGTGTGCATACACCTGGCCAGTCTTCAATGGCCTCAGAAGCAATTCTTCGTGGAAAACATCCTTCGCAGCGAACGAGAAAGACAAGGAAAGGAGGCAGAGTACAAAACTAGAAGAGACGGCCGCCATGTTGAAGAAGCAAAGGCTTGGCTACATTGTCATTCATTCCCAGGCCTGATCTAAAAGAGTAATGGGCGTGGGTCTTTCAACACAATTTTGGTGCTGCTTTTGAAGATTTCATGTAACTGAAATACGTTTTCTCCAATGAAAAAATTGAGGTCTTTGTCAAAGCAAACTCGTACCTACCTGGGGCACTTTCCATGCGATCAAAATTCGGAATTTTCGAAACGGTGCCCGGCGGTACGGAAAGTTTCTAAATTATAAATGTCCGGTTTGAATTTCCGGAAATTTCTGGCGGCGAATGGAAAAATATTTTCTGGAAACTCCGGAAAATAGGGTCAACCTCGCGAAGAACACCCAAATTTTCGAAAATTTGCTCCGGGATTTTTCGGTTGAATGGTTTTCATTTCGGAAATTCAGCAATTTTCGGATTCTCCGTAAACTTTCCAAGAACATTTCTGTACCATTTGACACTGTTTTGAAAGTTCTGGAATTCTGGATTGAATGGAAAGCAGCTTAATTTTCCAAAATGTAGACCATTCAAATAGAAATTAAACGCTCTTCATTCTTACCGGGTATGTTACCAACAGTTAAAGGTGGCTCTAGCCCAAAGGATAAAAAGTTAAAAAAATAACTATCCTCAAGAGGTACAAAGGCGGGAGACCTTGCTTTGGCAAAATATAAAGAAAGCACCCCCTTCCCTTCTACCACGTGAAAAACACTGGCGGTGAACTGATTCCCAACCGTGCTGTATTACATTGTAAATAATTATCAGTAAAATTTGCCGATAAATGAGGGTTATTGGTATGAATACGACCTTAGAGACAGACTTTTTTTTTTCTCCCGTGCTCATGACATAAATGACATGTTATTTCGGGCCCCATGAGTCATCTTTTCTTGAATCGACTCAGCAGCGGTTACTCGGGAAGTCACGCAACGCGCATCACTCCAAATTGACGGGCTGTTGGGGAGATTCTTTATTGTCCAGACTTCCGTCCATTTTGGTCACGTGGTTGGCGAATTTCGTAACGGGCAACTATGAGAAAGGAAATGCTATGGAGACTATTCACTCGTACAAACGACAGAGAAGGTAAAACTTGACAACAAGCTCGTAACTATTCTCTTTATTTTTAATCTCATTATAGCCAGCTCTTTCACTAACCATTTAGGCATGCAAAAAAAGGCCTACATCTGAACAAGAACAAAACGAGGCTTAGTAAAAGGAACGCTTGCGCTCTGTTTGATTGCGGACTGATTTTTTCTTGTCCTTTTTTGATAACTAATATTTACACCTAGAAATACTTTTAGAATGGCAGTCTTACATGTAAGACGACTGTCGTAAAACAAATGAAAAACCAACCATAGCAGACGTCAACCGGTACAAAACGCGGGAAAACACGCTTGCACCAAGCCACGCTCCGATTTGTTAAATAGAACAGCATATTGGCTCTGATTGGTTTAGAGCGCTTTTGTGCGTATTTTTAACCAATCACTGAACTACGCAAACGAAAACTAATTGAAAGTAAACTTCACTAATTGTTTTACACAGTCAATCGAAAACTGCACAACAGTTAACTGTCGCTAATATTTGAAAGCAATCCAGGACGAAAGCTTAACAATATAAATGCTCCTAATAAGTTTAACATTCTTTAAACTAGTTTTAAATGCCGAGGACCTCGTATCTTATACTCTTATCTCAAAACCTTGCACCTCGTTCAATAACTGTACAAACAATATCACGACTTAGAAGTCGATAATTAATTTACGAAGTGCAAGCTTATTAGATAAGAACACGGCACTCTAACATTTTGACTTAAATTACTTCAGATTTAAATATCAAAATATAATATAGACATATTCCTTTTCAAAATGATATTTCTTTAAATAATTCTAATCCGCAATATCAAATCTAATACGTGCAAAACGAGTTGGCCAACACTATAAAATTTCTAAAGCGTTCTAAGCTGGAACCAAACCTAAACATCTCCGTGTTGGCAATTATTGTACAGATTTACAAGCAACATGGAATGTTATTCCAATTTTTTGGCAAGGAAGAGTTATGAGTTTCCCCGTCAAGAAAATAAAAATATACAACTGACTTGAGATACAAGCTTTACATGCAAGTGGTAAGCTTTCTTTTTAATAAATAGAAGATTTAACCCTTATAGAAAGAATGATTGAGATGTTGAATAGCCATGCAAATTTTCCATTAAAACAGTATTTCACAATAAATCGATGGAAATAAGAATCAGCTTCTCTGCTGACAACCTGCATTTTCATGGTGTAGTGTACTTGTTAATGATTAACTGAAGCTTTGCAAAGGAGAGAAAAACAGAAATTGAGGAAGCCCGCAACGTTGTCCCCATGATTTTGCTGGAGATAAATTTCCAGATAGCGGTCAGACTGGTCGCCATCTTGGATGTGCCAGCGGAAAAGAACCAGGGATACAACCTCGATCCCAGGGTCCTCCCTCTTTTTCGTTTCACGAGGTAGAGAAACCCTTGGAACGAGGTTGCCAGGGACGAGGTTGGAACTATTTGCGAGCTCTTCACGTGAGACTTTTCCCTATCGTTCTTTTTTAACCCTTTCACTCCAATCTCGGCATCAAAATTCTCCTCCACTGCATTGCGTACATTTTGGTCAACTATCTTTGGGAGGATTCATTTTGTGAAAGAATTATGTCCTTTCGTAGGAAATCGTATCCTCGTGACAGGGAGTCTATTGTCTACCGCGCTCTACTGTTGAACCACAATAACGCAAAACCAACTTTGCCTCCTTTTGATCTTTGATGGGGATGAAAGGGTTAAGACTCCTTTGATGCAGAGGAAAGTGTGCGATCAAAGCAAAGTATCACATTAACTACTCGTGTTTTAAGCCTAAAAGTCTGGTTTAACTGGCGTTTGGTCCCTTCCGTCACTCCCCTTGCGTTACTCTACTTACGTTTCTCCCCTAAGTTACTATCCTTGCGTTACTCCCCTTGCGTTACTCTCCAATGACTTCGTCGTTTGGACTGAAGGTCACAGACGGGGTCAGTCCGTAGATGCGCACGAGTTTCTTGAACTTATCTCCCATGTCATTTACATACTCATAACAATCATCTGTCTCTGAATCCCCCTCAGTATCCCCAAGGGTACTTAGTGAGATGGTAGGAGATCCAGAACCCTCGTAATAAAACCTCTGCATTGCATCCTCTGGCAAGAAATTCCCCGGTGGGGGAGGCACACCTCTGGGGTAGTAAGATCGCGGGGGTTTTCTCGGAGGGAGAGAGTTTCGTTGGATTGGAGGGAATCCATCTTCTACAGCCGCACTGGGAAGATCGCTGTTTGGACGAGACAGCGGATTCTCCATTGCATATGACCCGCTAGAAGAGAATGGGAACTCACCATTTTGTAGCGGTTTTCTACTTTCTTCCTCAGTTTTGTTAGGTCTTTGCAAAGAAGCTCCATTTCCACGTTCCCTTTTAGTGAGACTCCCGTACTTCTCCGGCGATGAAAACCCCTCGGGAGGTGATCTCATGCCCCCCTGTTCTGCATCAGTTAATCCAAACACTTGAGTTAACTTACGAGTCGGACTTGGTTCCATTGCTCCATCTCCCCCCTCGGGACTGTGCCTTTCCCCGACTTCTCCCTTGGACGAAGTACGGACGCGCCTGCGCCGTTCTGGAGTTGATACCGCTGACGGCGATGAGTAAGAGTCTGGAGGCTCTTGATCGGACCCATCATGAGAGAACGAACATTGAGCTTCCTGTTTATCAGGTTGGACAGGTTTCTGAACAGGTTTCGCAGCGGGGATTCCATTGCGTTGTCTTGCGTCAGACTCCGTTTTGATCGGGGCCAGAACAACGTAAGGTCCATTGACATCACTGTTGCTTCCGGACAGTTTAAACTTGTTTTGACAAGGGCTGAAATCGTTCGTCTCAAAGGATCTCAAAATATCTCTCACATGACCTTCCTCCTCAAGGTCCTCCTCGCCGCCTCCTTCGATGCGGTAGCTGGCGACGTTGTCGCGTTTAAAGTGATCTTCGTCTACCACGACGTCCATTTTCTTGGGACGGGAGCGGCGAAGGTAAACGATTAAAATGCATACTGACAAAACTAGGGTGACCACCAGTACTGACAAGCCTATGGAACAAATGAAGTGCAGAAAGATTAAACTCTACCAAAAGATACACGTCACATGAAGAGAGGTTTTAGAATGATCAAAACACTTTCCATAAACGCGCCATCGATTCTGAAAAGGGGGAAGGGGAGGATGGTTTGGGATACAGGGAGATCTTAATTTTCCGCGTCCTCAATGATCACCGCTTCTTCACACTTTTTCAAACGCAAAGTACTACGCAATGTTGATAATTTTTATTTCTTCCTCCTGCTACTTTGGGAAACGAACTTCCTGCTCTTACCAACCCTGCCTCTCTCCCCTCCCCTGCCTAAGAAGCTATACAAAAACAACTGTTCACAAGCCCACTAAATGAATAGTTCAAAGAATCAGAGCACAAAAAACTCCCACAGAATTTACGAAAGGACAAGGAGATTACCAACGACTGCTGCATGCAACCTACCAATAATCAATCCGTCTTCAAATCCGACACCAGAATCTTCAGCAACAACCACAGCGCCCTCAACTTCACAGAGCGCGCCCTCAAATGCCAGAGGACATCTGCAGTAGAACTTACTGTTGCCTTTATCATCAACTCCTTCAACACACGTGCCGCCATTTTGACAGGGCCGGGAGGTACACAGGCGAGGCAAGCAGACAAACTTCCGCCAAATGTCTCGACACCATTCCGAGGCTACACACGGGTTGGGTTCACATACGGGACTTGCACTACAGCCTTCAGTAACACCTGAAGAGAAAGACCATTTGCAGTTATGAAGAAGTGATCTGACAGGGGGCTGAGCAAAAACGACATTTGGTATCTGGTTACTTTGCTCACAAGAATCATAGGTCCGCATTGCGTACATGGATATACAAATAAAGCGTTTCTTACCATTAGCTAACAGAGCTGAAGAAGTCGTTTTCTTAAGAATTAAAAGCTACTTACATCAGAGGATTATGAAATAGTTACAAAGATGAATAAATAAAAAACGCTAACGAGCTCTGAGTATAGGGCGTAGTTGAATACTGTATTTCACTAGTAATGAGGGCAAACACGAACAGTGCACGAGGACCTTTTTAGAGGATAAATAAGCCACTTGCGCATCAACCTATATGTACAATCAACTCTCTTGATGTGGACACCACCATACGGCGGATCCCGGCCGAATTTACTTGCCAGAATGTAACTACACTCTCCTCAAGGTGGATACCTCTCTTAACCAGACAGCTAAAACCGGTCCCAATAATATCTGTTTAAATATCTATTTCAAAGAGTTAGCTCTATGTACTTTTTTCACGTAAAAAAGACCTTGCTCCGCAAGTGGGGGATAAGCCAGTTCTTGTTAATCGTTATCTACTCTGAAAAATTGTTGCTAACAGTTGGGGCAAATACATAAATATATATAAAAAACGTTATTCACCGTACCTATGGACCGTGCATTGCCAATATCACTTGTTCCATTATAGTAATACAGCAGATGACCGTTAAATCTCACATCATTAATGCAGCCAACAAAATCATTTTTCTTGTCACGGCGGTGGCGTGACAAAGTAGGCGAGTTTAGTCCTCCGATAAAGGTCCTTGTAGGATCCAGAACAAAGAGTGTGTGTTCTGCGCCGAGATATTCTGAAAAATGTTTAACAAAAACAATTATGGTCAGAGGAAAACGCCTTTTCAAAGAGTTTTAGAAGCGTTGAGTGACGTTCTAACAGTAGGTAAGAACTTGCAATCTGATAACCTTGGGAAGAATCGGTGACAAAGATTGCGTGACACCATACCTGTCACAGAATATCCATCGCCATCACTGTCCACCGAGAGCGTGACCTGTGTTCTCTCCCTCACCACGCTTATATTGTGCCACTGACCGTTGCCCACGTTCACACCAGTCAGCTGTACTACTGCAGAAGACCGGCTTTCGAGTCCAAGCGTGTAGGTGACAATCAGCTCACTCTCCCCATCCCCGTCAGTATCATATGGTAAAACCTAACCAGGGAAGAGAGAGGTGAAAATTACGACCTATTTTAGAGCTTCGAAAACCAGAAATGTGGTCCTCTAGTTTCAAATATTGAAGATAATTTTTTTAAATTAACATCCATTTTATGGCATTCCGACCATTAAATTACAGAGCATGCGCATACGAGTTACCTCTAGCAAACTAAACCGTCCTTCTTCACTTCCACCATTGAACATCAGCACACCACCGTCAGGGTCACGTGTTCGGATCTGCATTTGGATCTTAGTCTCCCGCGGGTCATAATCGAACTTGTGCAGGTGAAAAAGGTACTGGGTAAAACTGCCGTCCGCGTAGGTCAAGGTACGGGTTCCTAAAAAAATAATTAGTAATTAACAGGATGACTGAATTAAAAGAACGCAGACATGAAGACAAAGAAACACTTGAACGTCGTAAAAAGGTGATTAAAAGTAAGTGTTTGTTGCATGAATAGGACGGAAGTTATTTTGAAAGACGACACCTTTACTTCAAAAAAAAAAAACTTCGATTGACCTCTAGAAGGGAGAATTGTGGTAAACCTATGTTTGTTCCTCTGCTTATCTCTTTAGAGCTGTAAAAGCAGCAAAAACAAAAATCAAAGTACAAAATAACTTCTAAGACGAAAAATGCGCGGGAAAAGTCGCGTTAACCAACTCATTGGCCTCTAAACCTTATTGGAAATAAAAACAAGTTATTGCTGTGTAGCAATTTGAGTTGAATGCTTCAGTTTAAGTTAACAAGAAGTGCTTAATGGTATTTTAGAGACATTTCGGGGAAAACCCCTTCATCAGTCGTAAATGAAGCATTGATTGCTCAATCTGATTGGCCGAAGGGATAAAACATTTGCATTGATTGGCTAACTACCCAGCACGTACCATTTCAATCACCAACTATGCACACGCACACACACCCACCACAGTAACCACGTGACTACTTTCGAACACTTCTAGATTCGGACTTACTTTGGCCACACGTAGGACCAGAGAAGCCGAAAGGGCAAGAGCAGGAGTAGCCAGTCCACGAAGGAACACATTTGGAAAGGGAGTCGCACTGGTGGCCCCTGCAGTGTTGGTCCACCATGGGACATCCCTCCTTGGTGCCATTGCTGTGGGACGGCGTCTTGAGATCGTAGTAAGTTCCCTGACTGATCACATTACGAATACAACCTTTGTAACTCGTCACTGAGAGTTTAGGGTACAGAAGATTTGTACTGGATAAACCGCCGAGCTGTAAGGGACTATTTAAATTCAAAAACCTGAAAAAAAAAAATAAAAGAAACGTTGGAGTTTAACATCCGTCTGCCACTATAAAAGCTTCATGTGAGAATGACGAATTGCACAGTTAAGAACGATTCCAGGTAACCTTTAGGCAAGGAAAGTGAGCGAGACGAGGAAAGCTCCACAACCGCAGAGAAAGAGCGAACCATGTAATGAAAAAGAAACGCATTCAAACGGCTTGAAAAACATCTAGGAAACAAAATAATGCTAGGAAAGTTAAAATCCCCAAGAAAAATAGCCCACCACAGGGCTGCTATTTCCTAACATTTCCAGATACACTGAAGACCAAGTGCTCGCCACAAGCAGTGTTACGCTGTAGTAAAGCTTTATTCTCACTTGTTATTATCACCACGCATTCTTGCCGTGGACGAGCATTGAGACATGTCTTCCACAGCTCTGCGCCTCCTTCCTTCCATCACTGGCGCTCCTTTACACTTGTCCACTGTGACTCGCACAAACTGAGAAAAAAAAATCTTCGTTAAATTTAAATCAGTTTGAGGCTTTCTCCAACTGAGGTGAGACAGGTGAAATAACTCGCGAACGTACAGCATAAACTTAAGAAGTAACACAGCAGAATCTTGTCTCTCTCCGGCTATTTTCTTGTATTCATCGTGTGTTTCTCTTCTCTGCTCCACCGCAACATTGAAAGGCTAGGCAAAGCTACGTTCTCAAGTTTTGGTTCTTTTTACCAGTCACGCAATCTCTTTTGTCAGCAAAAATTGCGAGAGAGAACCCTTTCCTCAAAATAGGCTGAAGCCGCGATTTTCGTTAGAAAAGTTGCTAAGCAACATGTCTGGTGTCACGATAACTTGATAGCTTCTGGAATGATTAGAGAACAACAAATCAAGCCCTGGCCAAACGCACTTGCGTAGGGACTTCTGTTGGGTGGCCAGTCGGACTTGCAAGTTTCATCGTTAAGTACACGCAAGTCGCAAAAAACCTATTTCAAGGCTACATATTCTGTACTTCATTGGCTAATAGGTTACTACAACAACGAATGGACGTCACTCAAACGAAACGGTAAAAAGCTTGCGTCGACTTGCGTGCAAATTTGATCTCGACCAAAGTGAGCGCAAGTCAACGCAAGTACACGCAAGGCCTCGGCAAACAGAGTCGCAAGTAGACCCAAGTTTTCAACTTGCGTCTACCTGCGATTCCGTTTGGCCAGTGTTTTAGTCATTTGCCATCCGTCGCATTCTTCATCAACTAAGTAAACCCTCATGTTGAGCTTTATATCAATTTAAAAACAATTTTGAACATGTCAAAAATAAATGAATACATCGCGTCATGTTAAGATGGTTTTTTACCGTTCTGTTCCTGTAAACCTCCACATGGTGCCATTCACCGTCATTCAGAGCCATACCACCAGTAACACCAACGCGCACCACATCGTTACGATCCCCAAGGGACATGGACACGAGGATCTTGCCGCCGGCCAGCTCTACTGCGATAAAATCGTGCACGTCCCCCTCCCGCACGGGAGAGGTTGGACCTCCATATAACAGCAGCCCGTTTGTCTCTCGCGACGCGAACTCTAATGAGAGGGAGCCAACGCTGCACTGCTGAGGCGGCGGCAGCCACAGCCACTCGCCAGGTTCAAAGCTCCGCGTGGTAAATTCACAGTTAGGTCCATCGAAGCCCATCAAACATCGACAAACATGTCCTAATAAGAATTATGTTTACAGAACGAAAAATTACAAATTTCTATTTTACTGAAAGCTTTGATTATGTCTGATAATTATGTCACTTTTTTCTCTGTTTCCAATGTTGTTTTTGTTCACGACGATGAAGTTAAGTTATACCTTGAATTCTCAAGTCAACGTTGCTCAGTTCAGTTTCGCAGTTAAAACAGAAGTCTGTTCAAAGCTAAAAGAATGGCGCCTTTAAAAAATTAAGATTTCAAACTTTCCCAATCTTAACCATCCATTTTTACCTCTCGTGTTATTCTACCTAAGGAATATATCATTGCTGTTTTGCTTTAAAGTCGAGTTAATTTTTGCACAAACTGATTTAATATACCATGACACAACTCCCCTTTCGTAATTTTGCCCTTCACTGTTTCTCGTTGTTAGCTCAGTTTGCATGTGAGCGTTATTTCTAACACACAAATTGTAAAAATCGTCTAATTGCTTCAAGAAATTTTATCCATGTTCTTTGCACGGAGCTCGTAATTAATGAAGAAACGTAAAATTCTCGGAGCACAGTGTAAGACTGACCTTCAGGTATGACTTGACAAGTGCCTCCATTCAAACACGGGTTTGATTCACAGCCCGGCCTCTCTACTTGTTCCTCATCACAATCGTCGCACCGCGCTGTCAGGATAGCCACAATCGACGCAAACGATGTCCCCTTCACAGAAATAACTTCCACTTCTCCATTGGCGATTAAAACATTCGCACATCCACCTGATTCGCAAGGCTCGTGCAGGCATTCATCCACGCCTACGATCAACACATCCACATCAAAATCTTCCAAAGCTTTGGCCAAACTAGGCCTGTTGTTCTTCAGGATAGCGGTCATCCTCTCTGGAGCATAGTAAGGGCTGCCATGCGCAGCAAAGCGCACGTCGATGGCTCTAAAATTCTTCGGTGCGCCCTGCACGCTGAACAGATCCACGTTGTCTTCATTTGTGTTAAGAATACTCGCCACTGACTCCTTAAATCTTGGCATAACGGTTGTAATGAAGCCTTCGCGCGAAATACCGCCAAGTCTTACAGCCATGCTGTTGCGAACAGCTTCGGCAGACACTTCTTTGACTTTGATAAACACGGAGCAAATTACCGATGTGAACGAGCTGTTAAAATCCGAAACTCTGGCCGTCAAAAAGTAATCTCCCTTGGGAGGATTCGGTCGGCTTATGATCATTCCCGTCTTTCGTTCAATCGTGAAGTATCCGGAGCTGTTTGCTAACACTTCGTAGAACCTCGCGTCGTCGGTGTCCTTATCGACGACGTAAACCTTTCCCACCCTCCCCCCGGGAAATTTCCCCTGGTATGAATTGAGCTCGAGGTTCAACGTGCCCGTGGAATGCTGATGGTCATTATCATCTAATATGTGCACATAGAGGAAAGTCTCGGAGTGTTGCCGGGGAGTTCCGCTATCTCTCGCTCGTATTCCCAGCATATACGACGCGCGCTTCTCTCTGTCAAAAGAGGCTCTCGTAAAGAACTCACCCGTTTTGTTGTCGAGCTTAAAGAAGCCTTGGTCGTTGCCACTGGAGATTTCAAAAAAGAACGGACCTCCGTTCGGAGGGTCAAGATCCGGGTCATCAACGCTAATTTTTCCAATGGACTGGGAGGGTGCGGTGTTTTCTTTGACGCTGAAGTGAAACATTGAGGGGTGGAAGGTGGGGCCGTTGTCATTCACGTCGACTAAGGTGATTTTGACCGACGCGTGACCGTACAAAGGAGGCGTCGCTAAAAAAGACAAATAATAGTATTAATGATATCAATGAGAAAGTTACTTCGTTGCGTTTGGCTGAGAGCAGGCCAATTTATCGTTATTTTTAATTTGCATTGCAGTCCAAGTTAACGCGTGCGTGTTCGTAATTTTCTCAGACAGACATATAGTAATCGAATGAGAGCTCGAGCAATTAAGAATTTACATTACAGGCCTAAAGGCTCGTGCAATTTTGAGAGAATTTTCAAATATCACTCATAGTGTAAATCTCTAATTGGGATTACCTGTAGTAATTCACTAAATTGTATTTATTTTGGCGCTTGTTTCTATCTCTATACCACAGCACCTTAGCCAAACAGTTTCGTCCACACACCTGTATTCGTGGCTCTAACAGTAAGCAGATAAACTGCGCGGGTCTCCCGATCCAGCTTACGGTGAACGTACAACTTGCCATAGTCCGGGTCGATACGAAACTGTCCCTCGGGATCACCCTCGTAAATTGAGAATTTGAAGTCTTGGTTGCTGCCCGTATCCGAATCTGTGGCGGTAACCTGCAGGAGAAACACCTCCGGGATAACATCCTCCCGGACTTTTGCCGCGTACGATACCGGGTTGAATACCGGGGGGTTGTCGTTATAATCCTGAATGGATATCACTACTTCCGCTGTGTCACTGAAGAACGGAGCACTGGAGTCACGCACCTAAAACAGGATCAGACCAAAATAAATTTGACAATGATTGGTCTTTTTATCGCGGGCGAGGCACGGTGGCCTCATAGTTTGTGCGTTCGTCTCGTGATCGAGCGGTCCGGGTTCGAGCCCTGGCCGGCGCTATTGTGTTGTGTTCTTGGGCAAGACACTTTACTCTCACAGTGCCATTCTCTACCCAGGTGTATAAATGGGTACCAACCAATTTAATGCTGGGGTTAGCCCCGTGATGGACTAGCATCCCATCCAGGGGGGAGTAGAAATACTCCTAGTCGCTTCATGCTACAGAAACCGGGATAAGCTCCGGCCTGATAGGCCACTTGGCTCGTTTGCAGACTTTACAATTTTATCGTGGGCGAGCTTTTTTATATTTGCGCAATGCTATTGTAGAACTAGAACGGTCCAGTGAAACTTTCGTCTTTCGAAAAGTTTGAATCCAGATTACAAATGTACAAGATACGTCTTTACTTGCGTTATACCTGTAAGTACATTACAGACATTCACGCCGTGTACTTCGCCAATTCCAGGGCACGAGATTACGGACTATACCCCGACTAAACTTAACGTAGGTAACGTCTGCGTTTGAGCCTAGTGACGCAAAAGGCCGACGCTTATTTCAGGGTTCCGATGCATGAAGAGACTAAAAGTATTTCTACTCCCGCTGGGTGGGATGCTAATCCAAATTCTCACTAATCCTGGGTTGGCTTAATTAGCTTTGAACAACCCGGCCCAGAGGTTGAGAGAGGCACTGTGAGAGCAAAACGTCTTGTCACTGCAAGCGTTCAAACATGAAACCGCTCGATCCGAGGTACAACGTGCCAACTATCTCACTGTTCTTTGTTTTGATATTCTAGGCTTCAGTGGTCGCCGCTGTTTTATCTTGTTGCNGGTACCCATTTATACACCTGGATTGAAAGAGGCACTGTAATAGTAAAGTGTCTTGCCCAAGAACACAACATAATGACACCGGCCAGGTCTCGAGCCCAGACCGCTCGAGTCAACCGCTGACTCTTAGGCCACTGCACCTCATACACACTAAACTACAACTCTATCAAAAATTATGTCACTTACTTGGACTGTCAATTTGTATTCCTTGTCACTCTCGTAATCCAAGCTCCTGGCCACTTGAAGTACCCCCGTGTCCTCCACAATGCGGAACATTCTCCTACCGTCCCCCATCCCCTGAGTCCCTCCTTGTATAATACTATAACGTAACCTCGCATTGATACCAATGTCTTCATCAGTGGCCTTCAGCCTCATCACAGATGAATCAATAGAAGCGTTCTCGAACACGCTGGCGAGAAACACCTTGTCTACAAACCGAGGTGGGTGGTCATTATCATCGGTGACCCTGACCATAACCTCCACTTGACCCCAGAGCGCCGGCCGACCTCGATCCGTAGCGTTGACAACCAGTCGGTATCTGTCGTTTTCTTCTCGGTCAAGCTTCGCGCGCGTCGAGATAACGCCCGAGTCGCGATCGATTGTAAAGTTGCCATCTGAATCTTCGATGAGTTGGTAAGTCATGACAGCGTTTCCGTTCTCGTTCGAGTCGTCCTTGTCGACCGCCGACATGACCATGACGCGTGTACCGGGCAACTGGTTTTCTTTCACGCTTCCTTCGTACGCATCATCTGGGAACTGCGGCGGGTTATCATTTATGTCCCGGATCCAGACCACTACATCACAGGACCCAGTCCTCCTGGACTCTGCACCGGGATTGTCGGTAGCGAACGCAAGAAAATCATATCGTGCTTTTAATTCTCGGTCCAATGGCTTTATAGTTTTCATGACTCCTGTTATCGGATCGATTTCAAACGCATCTGTGCCCTGACCACCGATTGAAAAAGTGAACTCTCCGCCTAGTCCCAGGTCCTCATCTGCCGCCGACAGGGTTGCAACGGTGCTTCCCGCAGGCCGGTTTTCGTAAACATAAGCTACATACGTGTGGTTGGAGAACACGGGATTGTTATCATTAACATCGTTAACGTGTATGTTCACCACAGCAGTAACGGAATTTTTCCCGTCCTGCGCTCTTATTTTGAGCTTGTAGAAGTCCTGCGTTTCGCGATCTAAAGAGCTAGCGACAACGATCTGGCCAAGATCTTTGTTTATTTCAAATGCCGCTCTGGTATTTCCCGCTACGATGTAATAGTTTACCACAGCGTTGTTTCCAATGTCATCATCTCTTGCCGATACCTGTAACACGCCTGTGCCGCTAGCCGCGTCCTCAAACACGCTTGCATTGTACACAAGCTGCTCAAAGACTGGGGCGTTGTCGTTCTGATCGCTGATAATGACATTTACAAGACAGCTCGACCATTTGGGAAATTTACCGTGGTCACGTGCTTCCACGACCAAATTGTAGCGCCCAGTTCGCTCGCGATCAAACACTTTCTTGGTAGAGATAAGTCCTGTCAAGGGATCCAGATCAAACGAGTCGTATATCAAAGGCTTCGTAGATCCGCTGAACTTGTATTTGACTCGTCCGTTCTCGCCCTTGTCGGGATCCTTGGCTTTCACCTCTAATACAGAGCTTCCGATTGGTGCGTTCTCGGCAACTTGGCCTTCATACTTTGAGACCGGAAATTCAGGCGGCGAATCATTCACGTCCTCCACGAGAATCTCCAGCCGCGTGAACGACAAGAGCGGAGGATCCTGGGTGTCCTGTGCTTGGATATGCACCGTGTAGTTTGGCGCTAGCTCGTAATCAAGAGGGTGCTTCGTCTTCACTATCCCTTGCAACGGGTCGATGTGAACTGGCTGAGGAAAATTCACAATTGTGTAAAAAATCATATTATTGGGATCCGGGCTTGTGGCCTGCACGCGCGTAATGATGTGTCCTTGCTGCGCATCCTCGCGCACACGCGCGGTGTACACGTTCTGCGTGAATTTTGGCGGGTCTTTTCCAACTTTGTACACGCTAATGAAGACGGCTGCTTTAGAAGATTGTGGTGGGTCGCCATTATCTCGGGCAATCACAGCAAATTGATATTTCGAAGATGTCAGTGCGCTTTTGGTGGTTATAACCCCCGTGGTGTTAGAAATCGAGAATTGGTCATTAGGCGTTTCAAAGGAGTATGTTATCAGTGAATTGCTCCCAGCGTCCTTGTCAGTAGCGCTAACATAAAGTACAATGTTCCCCTTTTCGAGGTCCTCTTTAATGTTAGTCCTAAATGGCGTGTTACTAAACACGGGTGCATTGTCATTCACATCATCAATCTGGATCTCTACTTGGCAAAATCCCATCAGCCTCTCGGCTTCTTTGCGGTTGGGTCCACCATCCCTTCCCGTGATCCTTATCTGGTAGGATCGCTTCTCTTCCCTGTCGAACATCATAGCTGTGGTCACCAGGCCTGAGGTGCCGTTGATTTTGAAGTACGGTATGCCGATAGTCGGTCGCTCGATGTGGTAATTGACTTGGCCGTTCTCGCCCATATCGCCATCTTCGGCGCTAACCTGGAATTCAAAAGAAACAACCGCGATTACAATGTGGAGCACAGATACCTTCGGAATAATAAGACCCCTTACGCGTAGGCCATGCCACTGACTAAGCTTCTGATAAAAGTTACAACTTGAACGTTCTGTGATATCTATACGAAGCATCAGCATTGTAATAATGGTTCTCCCCGAAAACCATAGTTGCGATTGCTGAGAGCGAGATGACGTGCGGGCGGACGGACGGAAGGACGGACTGGCCCACTGACTGCCTGAATCCCTGAATGCCTGACTGCCAAACTTAGTGCTTCCCTGACCGACCGACTGAATGCCAAGCTTGTAAAAAAGGAGGGAGCATACAAATAACAGGAATCTACCTTGTAATACAACAGCAACATTGGTATGCAACAAACCTGAATAACTGGAGAGCCTGGGGGAAGGTTTTCTGCAATGATTGGCCGATACTTGTCACAGTCTCTAAACACTGGTTTGTGATTGTTGATGTCCTGAATGGCCACAACTAGCACAGCCTGGCTGCTGTGTAGGCCGTCCGAGGCACTGATATTAAGGACGTAGTACGGACCTACAAGATTGGGTTCCCTGTGCTTCACTAATCGGACTACTCCTGTTCGGCTGTCAATCACAAAGTTACTGCTGTTATCACCAGACATGATGCTGTAGGAGACTGGATCGAGATCCAAGTCGCTTGCTTGAACTGAAAGGAAAATCAAATGAACTTGATACATCTTTTAAGTCTAGGCAAGAAAAAATCGCACTCCAAAACACCTGTCATATCAAGAACTATATTTTAATTTCTTACAACCTCAACCCGAGCTTTATTTTCAGATAAACAACCGTACACTCTCATTTTTTAAATTTAAACTTTCTTAATTTGAAGATGCCTCAGAATTTTTCACTTTCACCCACATTTAATAAGCGTTTCACACAAAACATTTAAGAGTCCCTGTCCATAAATATGGAAAATAACTCGGCAAGGGTCGAAAATTCGATTTCGCTCA